ATATATATATATATATGCCTCTCCCTCACTCATTTGACTGGCTTGCAAGGGAAGAAGGAAATAGATAAGAAGAGGAAGTAAGAGAGAGAGGGAGGAGAGCAAAACAAATTTCAGGCATTTTCGTCCATCAATTTTATTCAGAGATTTCTTCTAATCATTATAAGTAACACAAATCTCATTTTAGTTTTTAATGATTTTTTGTTTAACAGATTTCTTTTCTTCTAAATTAATAAAAATATATTTTCTGCTGATTTATTGAGTTTTTATCATGTAAATTTTTGTATATGATAGCTATTGATTGCACGTACATTTTGACTGTAATATTATTGATTTCTATTGAGTGTAACGAAAGTTATGATTTTCTGAAACTATAAGATAATATTGATTTTACTACATTATATATATATATATATATATTGCATTTTGACTTTACCAGCAGATAATTGATTAAAAGTTTTATGGATGTGGTTTTGAACTTTTAATCTATAACAACAAATTCATAATTTAGCATACTTTTTTAGGTTGTATGTACAATACCCTTTCAGATGTTATTTTTTGTGCTTGTTTATTTAAACCTTTCTAGGTGCTTTCAATATTTTTCTTCTTTTGGATCTTCACGCATGTCCGTGTTATATCTCCCTTTAGGTAATCCATTTATGCTTTAATAACATAATGCTATTACTTATTTTATACGGGCATCGCAGTTTGATTCCATGGTCAAACTTATGACATGTTGGTTTAATAAACTAGTAGAATATCCTTGATTGCGAATAGGTGCAGTGGATGGTTTATCTGTCAATCCTTTTCGGATCTTCACGCATGTCCGTGTTATATCTCCCTTTAGGTAATCCATTTATGCTTTAATAACATAATGCTATTACTTATTTTATACGGGCATCGCAGTTTGATTCCATGGTCAAACTTATGACATGTTGGTTTAATAAACTAGTAGAATATCCTTGATTGCGAATAGGTGCAGTGGATGGTTTATCTGTCAATCCTTTTCCAGGCCCATCAGTTGAAATTTTATGGAACTTGAGTTTTGTCTGATAACATATGAAGTTTCATTATTCAATACAGTTTTGTTTGTCTGCATAATCCTGTCTTGTTTGATTGTTTTAAATTTGCATTAGTTTGAGATTGTGGACCTTTTTTTTTAATTTCAAGAATACTTAATTTAAAAAATGTTTCCCTTCCTGATTTCGCAGTTTCTCGATCTATTTGGAGACCCTCAGTCAATCAAAAAGGCTGATGACCGGCATGCTTTGCTGTTCCTGCGGCAAAAAGGCATTTTGGTGTCCAAGAAGCGTCGGGCAAATGATTTTCTAGCATCAGAGAAAGCAAAAATCGCAAAGAGTTCTCCTTTGCCTGCTCAATCTGTTATGGGAGCATATCCTAATTCGCAGAACCAGTGGCCTGTTGGTTATGAACAAAAAGTTTCTTCTTGGCCACAAGGAAATCCGCAGACACAAGGGCAACCCTGGAATCCAGGGTATCCGTTGCAGGTATGGTAGCTAAAAAATTATATTCTCTTACTGTTTAACTGATTTGTGTTAATGGTATATATTTCTTGATTTGCTTTTTCTGTGATATATAAAACATTTTACAAATTGTTTCTTTTGGCTGTCGTATGCACTGCTTAAAGGCTTTTTTTTTTTTAATTTAACAAAATTATCCCTATTTATAGATCTATACATAATATCTTAATAAAGAAACAAATAATTATAGAATCATGTAGAATTGCATTAGTATAATCTTTCATAAATCAACCACCCAAATATGGAAGAAGATCGACGAGATTCAGGTGAGCCTCCCACAGATTCCCATCTTGACCGTGGGATCAAGTGTCAAGGGACGGCTGGGATTTAACAGAGATCGATGTGATCCCGACGAGCCTTCCACGGATTCCCATTCCCATCCTAGCCTTGGGATCAAGTGTGAAGGGACGACTAAGATTTTAACACTTCCTCTCAAGTTGGGGAATACGAATCAGTCATTTCCAACTTGGTAATTAGTCCCAGAAAAGTGGAGTTATCAAGTCCCTTGGTGCACCATAAAGTCCTTCATTTAGTAAAAGTTTTGGGATGCATTAGCTTCAAACACTGTTGCAGCAAAGGATAGCGATGAAGGCTATCTCAATAGCTAGCAAGGTGTAGGACATCAATGAAGCTTTCATTGAGCAGTAGCCCTCAAGATATCGAAAATGGTAATAAAAGCCGGTGGTGGGACAACAGGGAAAGTGGATTAATTATCCTTCGAGTTCGTCTCCCTCTCGGTTCTCAAGGGAAGGCCAGCAATAAAGGCATGACAGTAAAAAAAAAAGGAAAAAAAATTTAGGTTTGCCGCAAGCTTCAAGGACATAAGTAAAAAACACATGTCTCAAGCGACTTAGCACTTGCACACATATCTCCTCTTCCCCAGGTCGTCCGACTCCACTTGAACAGACTATTGTTCGATCAGCTAGTACAGGTGCACGCAAGGCATCTGATCTCTATGGTTCGATTGTAGGAGGGAGTGCAGGTCTTGCACTCTTGCTTGTCCCTGCCCCTGCATAAGAGGGAACTCTCAGCTCTTTCCAGACACATGTAGGAGGAGGTCTCGGTCGATTCTGGACGTTACACATAACAGCCCTCCCGCTTGATCTCTTCTTGGTCTTGGACGCACAAAGGAACCAAAGGGACCAATATTCCTTAGAATTTCAACAATGAAGGTCGATGGAAGGCCATTATTCCTCAGAATTTTGGCAATGAAGGTCGGCGGTGGGAATATGTATTCCTCAGAATTCCAGTAATGAAGCCTGGTGGTGAGAAATTGTATCCTTATAATTTTGGCAATGAAGGCTAGTGGTGGGAACTTGTTTTCTTCAGAATTCCAATAATGAAGGCTGGTGGTGGGAATCTGTATTCCTCAGAATTTCAGCAATGAAAGCCGGTGGAAGGAACAATATTCCTCAGAATTCTGACAATGAAGGCCAGTGGTAGAAACCTGTATTTCTCATAATTCCGACAAAGATGGCCGATGGTGGGAACCTGTGGCAGCATGAATGCCAGCAGGATTTGATGCAGATGTGGAGGACACGAGCACTTTCGGGGGCAAGACGAAAGATGTACAGACGCACAATCTCTCGTTCTGTGTAGTCGCATGATCTCTCATCCATACACAAGCTCTTGCTTGGCTCTTCTCGGTTCCGCCCTAGACGTACGCAAGAGGAGGTTACCGCATGCGACAAGCTTCAAGGACGCACGATCTCGCTTGGTTTGGCCGCATGCCTCTCTCGTCCCGTTCAGTCTTATGCACACAAGAGGGTTTCCCGAGAAGTTTGTCTTTCTCGATCGAATGCAAATACAACGGCATGAAGCACTCTCCCTAATCTCGTTTGGATGTACATAGGATCGAACAATCCGGGAACCCGCTCCCTTTCGTTTCTGAAGGGAAGGGCAGAAAGTCTGGTAGTAAAAAAAACTCATAATTCCATCCAAAACTCTGATGCCATGTTAAATTCAAAGAATTGGAGAGTAAAATGCTTTTTTTTATTAGACAAAACTATCCCTATTTACATATCTATACATGATATCTTAATAAAGAAACAAATAATTACAGAGTCATTCATAATTGCATTAATATAATCCTTTCTTAATCAGCCACCCAAATATGGAAGGAGATCGGTGTGATCCAGGTGTGCCTCCCACGGATTCTCATCCTTGCTGTGGGATCAAGTGTCAAGGGACCTGGTATTTAATAAAGATTGACATTATCCAGGTGAGCCTCCCACTGATTCCCATCTTGGCCATAGGATCAAGTGTCAAGGGACGGCTTGTATTTTAACATGCACAACTAAAATTCTAACAAATGAAGATTAATTCATGTGGATAATACTAAAATCTTTTTTATTTATTCAAAGGATTTTATACACAACAATGTATAGGCTGATCTAAGAAGAAAATTAGGATATTAAAAAAATATTTACAACCATACAAATAATAACGTTTCTATATACAATCAATTTTTTTCTTGAGATTCCTATGGTGCTTTTCACTCCCAAATAAATTATGGTTTTTGTTCCTTGGCATGGATCCATGGGATCATGATTTCTTTTCTTTGCATAAATTCAAGGAATCTTGATTTCATGTTTTGTCATGCACTTGTCGGTTCCAACAGTCCACCTCATATTGGAGAATAGATGTATTCTATTCCCATCTTGGAGATAACTGTGTGAAATATTGCTGTACCTAGCCCTTTAATAGAAACATTCACCCTTTGACTTCCGGAGACTCTATAAAGCATGCAAATTAAGCCTTCTTCTAATTTTTCTTTGATGAAGTGTGTTAATCTCAATATGATTAACGATTATGTTTAACCTAGCTATGAATAATGCTTATTGTTGATTTTTGTTACAATACAATTTTATAGGTCCTTTGTACCATATTTTTAAACTTATTTAGGATGATTTAAGTATAATAATTCACTAATTGCTTTGGGTCATAGCCCAAAACTTTGTACCATATTTTTATTTTCTTCATAATTTTTTATAATAATGATATTATCAACATCTATTAGAAATTTAGGAGTTCTGTCACTCCCCAATGGTCCAATGCTTAATGAGTCTGGTTTGATCTCTTTAATTTTGTTTGTACCCTATTTTCTTATTCACTATTTTCCAGCGATGCTCTAGGTGATTATTTTATGTTGTAACATAACTTTTTTAGTCAACACACCCTGTCATGCGTTTCATATCCTTCAAATTCCAGGGGAATGCTTATGTAAAGATCTTCAAGATCGCCATGCAAAATTCATTCTTCACGTGATTCTGTTAAAATTGTTTAGTTGAAGTTTTGGAGTTAACAAAATTCTCAGTGTTTATTTTTGTCCTAGGGGAAAAAGTCTAATGTTTGTCAACTCCATCTATATTCGTATAATCTTTAGCAATCATTTTGGCTTTTATCTTTCAATAGAGCCATCAAGCTTGCTCATTTGCGAACTAACATATTCTTTCCTTTAGGCTTAATGACAATCTTTCATGTATTGTTTTTCTCACATACATCCATTTCCACTCTCATAGCATTTCTCCATTCCTTTATTGATAATCTCGGACAATCTTTGGGATTGAGGTGTATAGACTTACATATGGAGAGGAGAAAGACGTTTAAGTGATTTGTAGTGAGATAAGGGGTATAATGGTTGCTTTGTAGAACTTTTTGGTACTCTTTCTAATAGCAATAGGAAGATCAATAACCTTTTCATAAAAAAGATTAGATTTTATCATGGCTTCATTAGGACTACCCAATCTGGTATTTTGGGCTAATGCTAGGTGTGGCATGCTTTTGGTGAGGACATCCGAGTGAATCTCATTGAGTGAAATTTGGATAGATTTTTTGGTTGGCAAAAATTGACATGGTCGAATTGTAGACTCTGTGGTGTTTGGGACATGCTTTTGAAGATCAGATTTAGTGATGTTTAGGGTCACTCTATTCTTGAGTAGACAGTGATATAACAAAAGGGAGCTATAAAGGATCAGAGCTAGAATGACTAAAATATTCCTCTGAGTGAAATCTCACCCTAAAGATAAGATTATGTCAAGGTTTATTTTCCTCAAATATGGCATTTGCAAATTTGTAAAATTTCTTAGAGAAGAGACAATAATTTATATATATATATATATATATATATATAGTGTATGTGTGTAAGATTTTACTAAGAAACACACTTAATGTCTCTAGGGTACAAGTTTTTTCCATTTTGATTGTGAATATGAACAAAAGAGGTAAATCCAAATATTCTTAGTATAAGCTTATTAAAGGTTTTAACATGGGAATAGGGTTGGGAACACAATCCATGTGGAATGTATGCTATTTGATTTGCAGAACATGTTGGAGGCAAAGCAACTTTTGGAGTTTATGTTCACCACAACATAGTGGTTGATTTGTGTTTTGGCTTGGACATCTGAGGGGAAAGATATGAAGATTGTTCTAAATGACAGATTTTGATAGTGCATATATGCTATTACAACCATTGGGTCATTGGTGCAGGTTCTAAGGATAGTGGATGCCGAGAAAAATCATGCTATGAGCTTCATATATAATGCTATGGATGAAGCAAAAGAAATGATTGCCCAAGAACTTGAGAGGATAAGAGGGAAGTTATAGAGAAATTTGGAATATCTTGATGAAAGGTGAGAGTTATAGCTTTATTGACGCTTATATGCAGCAGACTATTATTTGACCCTTAGTATTAATATGCAGAAATAGGTAAATGAATCTTGAGATAAAATTATGATTATACTATTGCATGGATAAACTTATAGCTTATTCAACTTAGAGAGCAATGCTGACATGCAATCGGTACCTTTTAGGAGTACAGTGGGGTTTTTTGGATTCCAACCGGTGAATGACATTGTTTACCAGTAATATCCATATAATTGGATTTGTCACTTTAATTTACTATGTGCTCATTTATTTGAATTTATTTATTACTCATTTATGTAAATCTCAGTTGAGTGGTGGATTCAATATTTCGACGGTACTCCAAAACTGTAGCATTTCGCTGCGAAGGTTTTGGGAGTAACATGCTCTTCATTTGTATGTGAACGCAACTAAAACACGAACAATCAAGTGCGCTCGAAGAGGAGAAATTGTCTGACAACATTATTTACAATAAGAGACTTAAAGAAAGAAACTTGAAGAAGAAAGGGTTGAAGGATGATGAAGACCCTTTGAATTATGAGGACATAACATCATATGATAAATGTATTGTAGATGATGAATTGAAGATAACACCTTCTGAATTACGGGAGGAATATTTGAAGATTGATTTCTTTGATGGTGATGAAAACACAACATTTGCATCCATCACAACCTAACTACATAAAGAACAAAAAGAAAAGCTATATAAAAAAAAATTATTGTTGAATCTTATTTAATTGGAAGATAATTGAATAGAGGAATAAGAAGCAGATTGGGAGGCATTGTACTCCACATGTGATGAGGCAGGGAGAAAGCAATTAATTATGATGATGATTGAAATGAATACCTTTGTAGTGATGACAACGCCGATGAATTTTGAGTTGGTACTATACCATTACTGTTTTTTTATGAATTAAATGAGGATGAGTAGGAAATTGGGAAAGAAAGAATTTTGATTTGAACTACATTTTATATGATTATGCAATTACTACATTTTATATTGTTTTTTTATTGTGATGCTTAGATTTCACATCACTTGCCATTTATGACTGGTTCAATTTTTTATTAAATATATGTGCCAATTTATTTCTTATGTCATCATTTAATATATTGTTTGATTATTACACAAAAAATCTTTTTTAATCTTTATTTTCACTTTACGCATTTTTTATTTTTTTTGTGGCTTACGTCTCAAAATGCTTTTGAGGTCGACACCTCGCCTCACAGACAGAAAATGTCTCAATACCCAATTGCGCAATTTTAAACCTTGCTTATAAGTTTGTTTTTGGGTTTGTAGTTCATTTAATATTTTTTAGTTCCTCTGGATTTATCCTAGTAGGCTTATTGTGGGTGCGTCTGTTTGACAAGCATTTGTGTGACCTCTAATGGTTTACACACATTATTTAATAAATAGTTACATTTGTTTGTTTTAAATTTTATGTGGCTTGCCTTATTATAAATTTTTTTTTATTATTGCACTTATTCAGCTGGAATTTATGCTTGATTGTCGTTGTATTTTTTATCATGCAAGTTTTTTTGATGAATTTTCTAAGTTGATCAAAAATTTTGAACCATCCATTAATTATTTGAATGTAAAATTCTTCACTAACCATAAAATTATTTCAGGCTGGATATAGTGCATACAATTATGCGAGCTATGGCCAACCTCAGATGCCCACATCGGTAGCTCAGGTTACTACACATGGCACATATGCTCCGAGTTATCCATCTCAGGTAACACTTATGTTTTATTCTGCAATTTTGACGAGTAGTTTATTGAACCTCTTCATTTTCCCGTTTCATATGGCTGGTTTGTTATATGATTGATGGGATATATTCATAACATTTCTATTTCAATTAGATGCAATACCAAATTTGATAAATTTTCTTAAGATTTAGTTGAAAATTGGCTATCATTAGGCTATAATGAAGGAAGACAAATAGAAAATTTCTTTTAAAATTAAAGATGGATTATATGGTTGATAGATGATGCATTTTAGGTTAAACTCTGGCACCCAATACTTTTTATAATAATAATGAATCATAGATTGCAACATTATATTATAAAACATCTTGTTGTTTACTTTAATGATAATTCAATCTATAGCAAGATAGGTAATGATCATTTGGTGCATTATAAGCGAGTATTTGAGATTTTACAAGTAAAACATTTGTTTCTAAATATAAAGAAATGATGTTTCTCACTACGTCTATGACATTCTTAGGATTTATTGTATTTAGAGATTGATTGTTTATTAATTAGGTTAAGAATAAAGCGATTCATGATTTGTCAAAATCTACTAATATACATAATTTTTGGAGCTTTAATGGATTATTTTATAGACGATTTATTAAAGGTTTTCGTATTATAATGCCTCCAATTACTTTTTATTCGAAGGAGAATTTTGATGGACTGTTGATTGTGCTTTTGTTGAGATCAAATAAAGACTTCTACATATGTGCTTATGTTACTTAAATTTAATAAGATGTTTCATATTTCTTATGATGTATTTGGTGTTTGTTTTGGAGGAATTTTTAAGTTAGGAAGGACCTCCCATTGCTTTTTTTTAGTGTGAAATTAAATGAAGCAGGATATTAATATTAGTTGTATTATCTCTTGTTAATTAGAGAGTTTTTACTATAATTCAATAATCTAACTTTGAAATATTTATTTTCCCAAAGAAGTTACAACATTGACATGCTAAGTTGGTTGAGTTTTACAGGAATTTTCTTTTACTCGAGCACTATTGGAACTGAGAATAAACAAGTTGGTTCTGGAAATAGTTTGTTTTTTTATTGTAAGTTAAGGTTATTTCGTAATTGATTTTTTATAATATAAAAGAAAAGAATATTACATGTAAGGATTTCGGGGAATTTATTAGAACTTAAATTCTCCCATGCTTAACAATGACTTCATGCTTAAAGAAGATTATTTATGTTAGGGCACTCATTGATTCATCTTTGGGAGATTTTCTGGTTTTGGATTCAGTTCGACATTTGGATAGGATGAGACCATTGATGATGGAGATTTCTAGCCAAGTCAAAAAACGTCATGTGGCATGTATTGTTTCATAATGTAGCACTTGTTTGTCTATTAAAACTAGAAAACATAACACATGATTGTATAGATATTTTCCCACTTCCACATGAACTAAGATATTATTAGTATGGATTGTGTTGGGCTCACTGTGAATATTTAAAATGCTTGATTTTATCATCGAAGTTGTATATCATTTTTTTTAAATATCTCAATATGTGATTGCCACATAATTTCGACCTGGAATGCTTGTAAATCTTGTTGACTGTCCTATAGAGTTTAGGCCTAGTACACTCACATGGATATTCATTGAAAACTTGCCACTCTAATTATGAAAATTATAAATCTATTGTTTATGTTAACAAGACGTGAAATTTAAAATTGATGATAAATTCATGGGCATGTTTAGATGTATAAAGGCTTCCATTAAAAACCTTCAAGTAATTGAATACGAGGGTGTCATAACCATTGAAATTTTGTTAAGGAATTAAAAATTTAAAATTAATGCCTATAAATTGGAAATTCTAGGAGGCATTTGCAAGGAATTAAAACTAATGCCTATAAATTTAATGTCTGACATATTTCATTATTAGATTGCCTTTCTTTTTCATTTTTTTTTATATTTGATACAATGGAAAATCTATTGGTTGCAACTAAATTACAATTATCTCTATTTCTTGTGATTAAATTACTATTGCTTGTTGATTTTAGATGGATGGCTCAAAAATTTTTTTTTTGACTTTTTTGGAATTTATTTTATCGCTGCATCATCGTTTGGGTTCTAATCTTCATATTTACTTATTTGCATCTAAAGAAAGTAAATTCTAACGTATTTAGTAGGTTTGAAAGTTCCACTGTAGAGGAATTATTCTGTGCGGTCAGCGGACGTTGTCCAGAGGTAAATCAGGACTCGCCACGTCACTTTTTTTGCTATGTATCGGATGATGTGGCTCATTCTGATTGGCCTCCGGACCATCTGGTGACCGACATAATAATTTCCAGTATCCTACATACCTTGCCTCATCGTCTCACTTTTTTTGAATTAGAAATGTAAAACTTTGAATCATCTTTTGCAGCATATGCCCTCATCATTTTTGCGACTGATATTGTGAAAATGTTTTCCATACATATTTCTTTGATCCCACTTGTCACATTTTTTTTAATGTGAGATAAATGTGTTCAGGCATATACACAGCAGACCTATGCTGCACCAACTACCGCAGCAACAGCATCTGTGGCAGGATTCCAGCAGCAGCAGCCGGCAGCTGCTGCTCAGCCATACTATGGTGCCACCTATTATTGATTGTTTTTACTACCACTCTAGTTTTATTGAGCTGTATATTAGGTGAGGCTTCTTTCTCCAAACAATTTTCCTTTTGTTCATGTTTTTCTGCTTAGTTATTGTCAATTTAGATTTCGTTTGGGACAACTTTCTTACTATTTTCTAAAACTGTTCTAATTTAAGGAATTTTTACACTAGAAAGCTGTTTTAGAAAGCAGCAAAAAAGCTGTCCCAATCGAAGCTTTAATAATTGAAACCCTAAATCCAAATATAATATATATTATAGATTTGTTCATGATTTTTTAATTGAATGAATGATTGTCCTCAGGAGTGCACTAAGCCTTTGATTAAAGCGAAGCCTCAAGTAGGTGATGATTTTGAGGCAATGGAGATGGATCAGTTTTCTTTTGTCTAAAAGATCTTATTGCTTTGATGTGCAGCTGCCACTGCGCGGTGGATCTTAGCTTTAGATTTTATACTCGATTGGCTTTCATGATCATCGGTAGCGGAGTTTCTGCGGAAATTCTGCTTCGATGTTGTGTAAACTTTAGAAAGTTTTTAAAGTTCTAATTGCATTTAGTAGATTTACGACATGCAGAAATTTAATTTTAATTTCTTATTTTTTGTTGTTGTTGGGTTGTGCTCAGTGCTTTTAAATATTTATGGGAGAATCTGCTTTTTCTGCTATTGTGTTGCAATTTTGTATTTTCTAACTATGATAGAAAAGAAGGAAAAAAAAAAGAAGGTTTTAGTTCCTAAGATGTGTGCAATATTTTGGAGGCTATTGCACAAAAAAAATGCCACTTTGTTTTAATAGCTAATTAATTTATAATATATTTGTGCCTATAAATGAAATTTTAATGCACAATTGTGGCTATTAATTTTAATGCACAATTTACATTAATGATTGACATGCTTATGCAGTATTGAAATGTTTTCAATGAACCATTTACTTGGAGAAATTTCTTGTGTTGTAAAAAAAAATATATATTTATTTGCATGCGTTGTATAAAAACAAGACAGGTTTTTTTAAGGAACTTGTAGGTCAATTAAGATAAATTTATACAAAAATTATATATGCAAGATTTGAACCCTGCCTATTTGTAGCCAAATGTATTGGAGAAAACATTCTTAAGTTACTTATGAGGCCTTAGCACTCCATAGTGCGAAGCATCTTTAAATTTACACAATGCTTAGCTAGAAAGAGAGACAGTTGAATGGGAAAGGTTTATTATTACAAGGGAAATTATACATGAGGAGAATTGGAGGGGCTTGAAGAGATGGTTACAAATGAGGGGGAAGCCTCTACCCATGCCTAAAATTGTTCTAGAGTTATCTCAATTATTTATGAAAATGGAGTTTTTTAGAACACTCCACACAAATATTTACACTTATATTATCATATTCTAGAGAGTTCTAGAATATTCTACAAGTTATCACATCATTCTAGAACTTTTTTGAGTATTCTGGAATCTTTTAGGAAACTTTAGATTTTTTTAGAACCTTCTTTGATTTTTCAAAATCTTATGGAATCTTTTGAAACTTATTAGAAGTCTTTAATCTTTTAGATTCTAATAATGTGACCCCTTTAGGAATGGTTCTAGAAGATGTCTTTGTCTTTGATCGATGTGTCACGCTCATGGTGTTTAGCTGAACTCCTAGTTCCAACATTTGGGTGTGACACTCTCCCTTACCTATTTTTGTGATGCCCTTATCGTGGGTCACATTGAAGTTATGTTGAAGGTTCTTGGATCGCCACAGGTCCATCATGGATCTTTAGCTCCCTTGGTCCTTCACCTTTTCCCTTGAGTAAGATTCCTTATTGCCTGCTTATTTGGGACACCGGGTTAGCTTCCTCGTCCTCCGCTGGTTCCTTAAGGACTTGGGATCTCCCTTGCTATCTTGGCGCCTCCCCAGGTTGCTCCTCTTGCAAGACATCTAAAGACTCTTTGAAGACTTCCATCATCCTTGTTGGCAAGCCTTCATTGTGTACCTCTAGCTCAGCCCCATGAGCTACCATCCCCTTCCCTGGGAATGTCTTCCAAGACATGTAACTCCTCACTTTTGGAGTTGTCTCCCTCTTGCCCTTGTTCCTGCAGCATCAGTGTAGCATCCACCTGATCGTCACCCTCGTCATTCATCACCCCTTAACACTTGGTCAGGAGCATTGAGACTATCTTAAGACAATGCCTTGCTCATTGAGGTCCTCTGCAAGCAAAGCAGATGTTTTGAATCTTTCTTCGCTCCTTTCCAACCCTTGGCTTACTCATCCCATTGTCCATCACCTCGACGAAGTCCTGGAAAGCCGTCTCCTTTTCTTGACCCCTCTCATGCTTTAGTCCCGACACATTGAGTTCTTCACTGGAGCAATTGTGGCTGGTGGTGGATGTCTCTGCCAAGGTATACCTACAATTCTCATGTAGGTCCTAACTCGAGCTAGTGTCCCATTGAGCTCCCTCTTGAGCTCTCTACGCACCTCTTCCTTGTCCATTAAGGATTTCTTCAGTCGAGACACCATGCCTCTTCTCGCAGCTTGGTTAGTGGAACCCTGTTCCACAAGGCTACTCCCATCTTCACCTAAGTTATCCACTTGGGTCCCCATGCCATTCGCAGCCCCTTGCCGTCAAGGTAACCATGAATCAAAACTAGAGATCCACTCTTTGGACTTTCCCCCATTGCTTGGATGATGGACTTCGCTGCTTATCCATTCCTTGGCTTCCCTATGAAGACTTCGTGCTTGTCACACCAATCTTGCCTTCTCTTGGCCTCGTGCCTTGCCCTGGGATTGAACTTTCTTTGATACCACTTTCACGGAACCTATTTATAGCCCTCCACCCACTTCCAGGAACATTCTAGAATACCCTACATAACACATGTATGGTTATTATTTATATTGCTAATTTATAAAAGCTCTAATATGTTTTTAAAATGATAAATGAAATTTTTTTTCTTAATTTAATTCAAGGGCTTTACAACACATGTATGGAGTTCTTTAGAATACTCCACACAATTTCCTACACTTATATTACAATATTTTGGAGAGTGCTATAGTATCCTAGAATATCTTCTAAGTACCCACACAATTCAAGAGTACTTTAGAATCTTCTAGAAAAATTTGGGCTTTTCTAGAATCTTCTAGGACCTTTTAGAATTTTTCAAAATCTTTTGAAATCTACTAGAATCTTTCAGAACTTTCTAGAATGTTTTAGAATCTTCTAGAACATTCCAAAACCTTCCAATGTCATGTGACCTCATTTAGGAATGATTCTAGAAGATCTCTTTGCTTTGCTCGGCATGAAACACCCAAAGGGTTTAGCCGAACCCCTAGTTCCAACATTTGGGCATGACACAAAGCTCCTGATTAACAAACTAAGGAGTTTGAGTAAATTTTGTTATATATTAAGTGTTTATAGTCAAATTAATAGTGATTTGATGAATTAGGCTTTGTTTTAGATAGTTTTTTATAATTATTTTTTCGTTGATTAAAAAAAATAGAAAGCTAAACTCTTAAACATCGAAGCACTTTTTGGTGTAATGGTCAGAATTTCATTTAAGAAATGCAGTTAAGCATGCTCATCCTAGAGAAATCCTATAATATGTGATCTCCTGGGAAGTTATACTGACATGACAAAAATATGAGGCTTTTAGTCCAAAGCAAAAAATATCTCGGAAGTTAATAGTTTGGACTATCACAAATTGTATCAGAGCAAGACAAAGTGATGCGTCATGAGAGCCGGCCCTTGAACCATGTATGAGATAAAGTGCTACATAACGGGAGTCATAACTTAAACTTGTAAGGGCCTCTGCTATAATCCTTTATGTCTGGTGGATAATTCTGGGATAAAGATGCTGACGAGGATGTCAGTTACTTAAGTGAGGGAGATTGTGAAAACCCTTAAGTAAAAAAAAAAAAAAGCTAAACTCTTAAACATCAAGGCGTGTTTTAGTGTAATGGTCATAATTTCATTTAAGAAATTCCACAGTTAAGTGTGCTCATCCTGGAGAAATCCTCGGATGGGTGACATCCTGAGAAGTTACACCAACAAGACAAAATCGTGAGGCTCTTAGGCTAATGCAGATAATATCTCGATAGTTAAGAGCTTGAGTTGTCACAAGAGTTTCTGTCACTCTTTGCTTGATGCCAATTGCTACACAATCAACCTACAAGTCTCATATGCTCAATCATTTCTCATCATTTCCTCCCTTTTACATCTCCTCTACCATATTAAGGGAACACTTAAGGTTTCCATAACTCTTTTGATGTCTTTTCTATCATATTAAGAAGACATTTGGGCCTTCTTGGTCACACATGACAGGTTGCAAGTCCCATTTTAACATCTTCTCTAGCACATTGAGGAGGTGTCCATGTTTGCTCGCTCATACATGATTGAGTTGTAAGTCCCACTCCTTAGATGTCTCCTCTACTATATTGAGGAGACACATTGATTATGATTATACAAAAAATTATGTTATTGTTGTATGTTCAAAATGATTAAAATCTTTTACTTAAATTATAAACAACCTAAAAATAGTCATAGGACAAATATTTTCGCATAAAACTTACATGACTAAATCATGTCTCAACTAGTGAACAAATATGCATAACCATGTGAGTCTCATACTTAAAAATAAAAGCCCTTCATCTTAAATACTAAACAACTAAAAAACTTTTATTGGTTAAATCTATACTCTCATGATTAGCTAGCTTAGCTTAAGTGGCTAAATTATATGTCATATTTTCTAAATTAAAATAGTCAGGCATATATTGCATTTACATATAGACAAAGACTTATGGTTTTAAAAGTACTTATGTGGGTTTAGCTAATAATCATTTTAAAATAGGATTATAAAATCAGATGTTAGGACTACTTAACCCTTTGGTGAGATTCATGCAGTAATCCCATACATGTATTATATATTGGTTTGAGAATCTATCATATTGGTAGTTCTCACCTTAAATTTCAATCTAATGCCGATATTCTTCATAGTTAAGTCGTAAATCGTCTTTCTTGGGCCTTTCTCCTAACAATCTATTTAGTGAAATATAGATCCCTAAATTTTAAAACAAATTAGATAGGTTAAGCAAAAAAGTTATTTTTCTAAATATAAAGCCTAACCCGAGATAATTTTGAGTACTTCTAAGATTTTCAAAATCAATACTTTTACGCATTCTCCTTTCATTTTCTCATAAAATCAATCCTCCTTTAAATTTCAGGATCACACTTTAAATGTAAAATTTGAAATCGTATGCATGAAAAACCTAAAAAATTGTGGATCATCATCATAAAAAATATCTTCATTGACATGCCGAAAAAATGCTACATCAAAAGATCTCAGCTAGACAACGCATAAAAATTTATATGCTAATTTCAATTTTCTTTTCTACATAAATAATTATCGTCATATAACATTGATAACAAATTTGGGAATTCATTTAGATATTCCCTTTGAGGACGACACCTTGGTTGATGCCTAAATAAAAATAAAATTATCCATATTGATAATCACAACTCTCGATGATGGCTCGATAATGCTAGCAACCCAATTGCCTACACCTATGAGCTAAGTATTAAATATCATTGAGAGATATCATCCATATTTGGCATTTCTTAGTATCATAGAGCTATAAACACCCATTAAGGGTGCAAGCGCCAGCCGCCAGTCCCAATGCCCAGACATCCAGTCTTAATGTCCATGCACCCAAAGTGGTTTCTTTTGGAGTTTTAACAAAGAGCTAGACACCCAAAAACATAGAATTGGTGTGTAGGGGCCAAAAAAAATTTTTTTGGGCCCTAATATACAGTGCCTACCAAGTCTGATTTTCCCATATTTTTTAGAAATTGAGGGGGATTTTTCAATAATCTTTTATAGGGTATTTTCAATAATCTTTTATAGGGTATTTTCAAATTTAAGAGAGAGCATCTTAAAGAGGTTTTAACAGTGGTTAAAGTAAGCCGAAAGTGAAATATTTTGATGGCGCAGATAAAGAGTTAAAACTCTAGTGTTTTATCTTCTCTTTTTTCATGTTTAACTTATTTAGTTCCCTATTTTTCTTACAACATAACATGAGCTAAAATCTTGTTTTTTAGGGGTTGGATGTAATTGGTAGTGCTTGTATAAATTATTTTTGAATACACTCAATTGAGATTTTATGCTTCATCTTTTTTCACTTTGTATTCTATTAATTGATTTATAATTGATAATTATTTAGGCACTAATTAAAGGTTTAGGAAATTTGTTCATAATTGAGAGTTAGAGAGTAGACTCATCATGGATAAAATATCATCAAAGATCATATGATAGAGATATCTACATTGAATTTATGTAATTTAAGAGTTCACTTTCACCCTAATAACTAAAATCTATTTTGCATTGAATCAACCATTAAGATATAGGAAAGTTATGCAAAGAGGTTAGTGACCCTTGTTTAAGATATTTGGGGTTATTATATTGCCATATTATTATTATCATATATATTAAATATTTATAATAAAGATTATATTATTTAATATTATAATATAATCTCATTATTATGATATTTTTATTTATTATGTTTTTATTACTATTTTATAGAATATTATCACATATATTCAATTATAGCTTTCTAATAGGGCCATCCCAACCATCCACATTGCCCCCAAGACACCTCTGCCCTACCCTAGAACAAAATTAAAATATAATCGAATTTATCTTACACCCAATTAAATATCAAAAAATGGTTTATATTGTTATTTTACAGTCATTTAAGCTACTTGCAAAAATTAGAATGTAATATATTTGATTTATATTCTATATTTTTAAATACTAAGCTCCTAATTAGATTTGATAACAATAATTTAGTAGGAGATATATTTCAAATTATTTCAAAATTTTTAATCTCCTTTCAAATCTTTGTGATGATCTGGAATAGTTAAGCATGCGCCAAAGGACCATATTTTTTATCAAATACTAAATTATTTGTAGAAGTCTTTTCTTCGAATGGACCCACCGGGTTAAGACTTTAAAGCCAAAAGAAGGGCTAGTACCCGCCTCTATCTCATGACTTCAATAACATAATATATTACATTTATTGATTTAGAGAAAACATATGATATGATTAAGATTTTGTGTGGGATAACTTTCTTACTGCGTATTAAAATAATATTTAAAAAAATTTACTAGACAATTGCTTTAAGAAGCAGTAAGAAAATTGTCCATAACAAAGCCTAAGTTTCAAAGAAGTGCTTTGGAGAGTTCTAGAAAGAAAAATAAGTAAATAAATCTTATATTCAAGTAATTAATGATAACTATAAAGGAGCTGCAGGTACTTGTGTTCAAACAGAAGGTGATTTGATCAAGTATTTTTCTACTTCAGTTATATTATAACAATGACCAACTTTGAGCTTATATCTTTTTGCTTTAGTTATGATTGTTCTTGCTACATTTGCAAAATGATGTACCTTGATATATGCTTTTTGCTAATGATATTTTCTTATTGATAGGATTAGAGAGAGGAGTTGATAAAGCTTTGAATTATGGAGTTTAACCTTAGAGTAAAAAAGTTTTTATTTGAGTATATCTAAAAACAATTACATAGAGTGTAATTTTAGTAGTAAGAGATCTAGTAGTGGGATTGTGATATTGGGTAATCAAGTCATTAAAAAGAGTGCATATTTTAGATATCTCGAGTCTATTTGTTAAAACGATGGTGAAATAAGTCGATATATTATTAGTTGAATTCCAATTAAATGGCTGAAGTGGAGGAATACATCGAGCTTATTATATGACGGAAAAGCATCCCTAAAATGTAAAGGACAATTTTATAAGATAATGATGAGACCTGCAATGTTTATGATACAGAATGTTGACTATGAAAAGAGGAGCATGAAAATTATAGATGAGGAAACTCAGGTAGATGAGTGGCTTTATACTTAGAGATTGTATGTCAAATAAGTAACACGTGAAAAAGTTGGAGTAACTCCAATGATATATAAGATTAGAGAGAGTTTCTTTATATGATTTTATCACATAAATATCAACATTATGATGATCCTATTAGAAGAGTAATGTATTAGATTCGACTTATATTAAGAAAAATAGAGGTAGATAAAAAAAAATTAATTAAAAAATATTTTATTAGATTTAAATGTGCATTTTAATAAAATATAATAAAAAATGGATTGGTGTAGCCAATCTGGTCAGGATAAAAATTTGTTATTATATTGTTAATGTACCAAATGAATTCTAGACGTAGGATTGCTAGAGATCTAACGGTGAGGATTGCCCGAATTTGACGGTTGATTTTGCCTCTTGTGACGTGTCACCCCCAATGAAAATACCCTTCCATCCTCTTACCGTGTTTTTCTCCGATTTCGGAGTCTCGAGGAGTCGGAGTCTTTCTTCTTCCTCTCTCGTTCTGATTTAGGGATCAGCTCCCATTTGATCATAGAGAGATTTGATAATACCTCCCCAGTCCAGAACCATCACATAGGGAAGAGAAGATTAACCTCCTTCTGTGTATCGGCGATTTTTTTTTTTTTTTGGTGAGATCGAAACTCCCTATCAATCAATTTTCATGTTTTTTTTATTTTTTCCTCTGATTGGGATTATAAAATTGTCATTTTAGACCAGTTTCTTCTTAATTTTGCGATTTAAGAGTAGTAGTTTAATTTTCTTGTTCTACGATGGTGGAATCGTCAACATAGCGATTGCCTGCTTGAAAACCGGAAATCATAATTTTTACCTTTGTTTAGTGATGGATGGGAACAAAGATGAAGCGCGGAAATGCTTGAGGATCGGGAAGGATGCTCTGGATTCGGGTGATAGGTCTCGCGCGCTCAAGTTCCTTACCAAGGCGCGGCGTTTAGATCCCACCCTCGCCATCGACGATCTTCTCTCCTCTGCTGGCGGAGGTGGAGCCGACGTTCCCGATGATACAGGTGATGCTTCTAGGACCGAATCCGAAAAAGCTGGAGAAGCCTCATCAGCTCCGTCCTCATCTGCCAATCTAAGGGCTAGGGCTAGGGCTAGGTCATCTATGCCTTCCGAAAATGGGTCATCGGAAGCTTATACGGAGGAGCAGATCACGATTGTCAGTCAGATTAAAAGGAAGAAGGATTATTACGAGATTTTGGGGCTAGAGCGGAGCTGCACCGTGGAAGATGTGCGCAAGGCATATCGGAAGCTTTCCTTGAAGGTTCACCCGGATAAGAATAAAGCGCCTGGTGCGGAGGAAGCGTTTAAGGCTGTTTCTAAAGCTTTTCAGTGCCTTAGCAATGAAGAGAGCAAGAAAAGGTATGATGTTTCTGGGACGGATGATCCTGCTCCCGTGAGGAGGCACCATCATTCTCATGGACATGGCTTCAATGGCTTCTATGATGCTGATGTTGATGCGGAGGAGATTTTCAGGAACTTCTTCTTTGGTGGGATGCATCAGGCAACCACTCCTTTTGGCGGTTTTCAGTTTAGAACAGGTGGCATGGGTGGTCATGGTGGTCATGGGATGCAAGGCTCTGGCAATTTTAACATCCGTGCTCTTTTACAGATCCTGCCTATTATTATACTGATCCTGTTCAACTTCCTCCCCTCCTCAGATCCTCTTTATACGTTCAACCGTTCCTACCCGTATGAACACAAGGTTTTGACATCAAAGGGTGCACCCTTTTATGTGAAATCAGCAAAGTTTGAGCAAGATTACCCTTATCAAAGTTCTGAAAGGATTGCATTGGAGATGCGCATTGAGAGGGAATACGTTGGCCTGCTTGCACAGAACTGCCGGCTTGAGTTGCAGCGGCAGCACTGGGGTTTCCAGCAACAGAAGCCTTACTGTGACATGCTTCAGAAGTTCCAGGAAGGAGATGCTACTTGATGCCTTCTAGTGAGGTTCGTCCCATGTTAATTCGTACCCTTTTGTGGCTCTATTCTGTCATGTCTTTATTTTATGATTTTAGTTTGTATTCTATAACTACTTTTTTGGTATTTCAGAGAGTAATATTGAAAGATTGTATTGTATGCTTTGGCTGCTTGATGGATCTTAGCTGTAATTTATGTTTCAAGCTAGTCTAAGTTATGAAATTCTTTCTTTTATTTGCCATTATAATGAATTGGTGTTGTCTTTCCATTAATTCTTTCCTGTCAACTAAATAGCACTCTATTCTTTATCATTTTTTTTCAATGACAAGGCATTCTTGCGCCATATAACATACATCCCCACTGCATTAATGAGTGAACGCTCATGTTTATCCATGTACTCTGCTGTAAGTTAATTTTAGAGTTTAGTTCCTCAATTAAGCCAATTGCTAGCAATATTGCAGTTTTCATGTTGACGCTTTGTTTTAGTGAATTTTACTTTTAATGCTATTCTTCAAGTTGAATTCCTTGCAATTTTATTTATTTGCACCAGTATAGTATTTCTTCTCTGTTATTTTATCATAGATTATTCAAAAATTTAAGATGTGCCATGTTTAATTGGGAGTTTTGCAGTAATTATTTTGTTTCTTGAGAATTCTTATTGCAAAATAATTACTTTTGGCCAAGCATTAAAATGAAACTAACTGCACCATGTAATCATTTTGCCCCAATTTGGATATGTATAATTCTTTATGCGATGGTTGCTATTGCAATTAAATTATCTCTTTATTATTGGTCAAAAATAGTGACATCGGTATTATCTTGTTTAACTATGGTTTAGATTATGTGAGATGATTTCTTTTGCATGGTCTTCTACTGAATAGGGAGGAAAATGCATTGGGATATTTTTTTGTCTGGAATGATCAATGATACCATAGAATCTTTTAGTTTCATCTCATCGGCATTTAGAGGCTGAGATTCCCTTCATTGATACACATCATTGTATTGTTTTGTAAGTTTTTTAATGTGTTTTGCTTGGCATTGTGATTATGTATGGCCAACAATCACAGGAAGCTCAACACAATTAAGTATCAAAGTCTCCTTATATTGTAAATATTGAAGTTATACAATAAAAGATAGCGTATTAGGGTTTCTCTGTATGAATACAAATGTTTAAATGAGAGTTTGTAGTAGATTGTAAAAGATTTTATATCACTTTTGAGAGCATCGACTATTGTTATTATAGTAATATCTGCTCCCAAGAGATGAATTGGAGATCTACTGATTGTTAGAGTAGATTTAACATCACTAGTCATTGTCCATGAATGCTTTAATTAATTTATCCTTTGCAATCTATATCTGGTTAATCTTCTGTTAAGGCAATTCATTAGCGGGGTGCTCTGTGCTGTTCAAAGGGTTTTATCGTGTCAAGAATATAAGATTTCCTGGCTTTAACTCTAAGATTAAGGCAATCTCAGCTAGGGACTTGTCTTTATCAGTGACTTCATGCGAGACTTTATTGAACTTAGCTACAAACTCTCTTAGGCTATCCTTGTCATTTTGTGTAATACAAAAGGAAGATTTAGAGGTCTTCGTCAGTCTCTTTGATGTGAAGATTGTGCCAATAACAAGTAAGAAAACTCCTCCAAGGAGCTGATAATTGAGGAGGGCAGATTGTTGAACCACCTCTATGCCCGATTTTTGAAAGTGGTGGCAAAAATTCTGCATTTGATAGCGTCTGAGAAGTTGCAAAGAGGCATAACATGTTTTCAAACTTATTCTAGTGCAGCAGGGTCAATTATCCTCTTATACATTGAGCTAATGAGATTTAAACTTCAACAAAATATCTCTTCCATAACTTCAGGAGTAAACACAGAGTTATGCTAGGGACTTTTGAAATGAGTGATTAGAGTAAGAACACCATTAATAAATATAGCCTTATCCTTACGACAAGGCTAAGATTGTTGTGTGATAGAAGCAATCAGGTGATTTAAGGTAGCATTAATTTTCTTGGTGATGGTGGCAAGCAATTGCTAAGGTACCTTATCAAATAGACTCAAATTTCTCTTGGTTAGCAAAAGTATTACAATTTGATTGTTCATCAATTTGATGTTTTGAATGTTTGAATGGATAGTGCCACACTAAGCATAATATTTAGATTTAAAATTGTTGGTGTTGTTATCTTTGACCATTACTTATTTTTTTCTAACATACAAATGGTTTTTCCTTTGGCAACATCAAAGATGTGAACTGTTGAATTTTGCCGTAACTTGAGAGAGAAATTTGGTTGTTTGGGTTTTAGAGAAAACAAAGTTTGAGAAAGAATCGTACTCAGGATGCTATATGATGAGGCAAATAAATAACACAACATTGACAATGGCAGAGAAGCGTTTTCAGTAGTTCAATCTGGTGATCTATGTTCACTGTGCAACGAGTTGAAAGAAAATATTTAATATAAGAAAAGAAGGCCCAAGGTTGTTTACATAAATAGGAGTGCTTCCCAAGATAGTTTGCATGTATGATTTTAGTATATTGTAAAAGATTTTTTACCTCTCTGAGAGTTTGGAATATTGCTATTTATTAAAGTGTTTGTTCTTGGAAGAAAATAAAGGACCACTAAATGTTAGAGTAGATCTAACCTTAGGAATTATTACCCATGAATATATGAATTTATTATTCTTTGTAATATATATCTCATTCATTCTTTATATCTAATGTTTTTTTCAACAAGTTGACAACGTCTTCATCTCCTCAATGTCTTTAAAGATTGGTTTTTTGAGATTCACCTAAGAGGATTTGTAACGGTTGTGTGTTATATGAATGAATTTGTGTTTTGGAGAGATTTTTTAGTGTCCCAAAAACTTTATTGAAAGGACTTGTTGCAGATGTGAATTTCTTGATAATTATAAATGCTTTATGAGTAATATCTTGTTCTACAATGTGTAGGTTATATTGTCTTCGTACACTTGGGAGAATTTCAAGGATTATCCTTGGGTTGCCACCTTAATATTTTCGGAGCTTTTCATTGTAATTTTTTTATCTCTGTGTTGCTTCTATTGTCAGATCTTCCTTCGAGCAATTCCCTTGGAGCTTATTGCCATGCTAAGATTATTCATCTTTGTCATCTTTATCCCCCCCTAACCATCTTAGTTGAATCTCTGAGCCACTATGAGGATTATTTGATGTCACCAATATAATTTCATTTATGCTTGTCAACATGTTATTATATATCCTCATCATCATTATCATCCTTAAGTTTGTAGTTATTTGCATTTGTGCTTGAATTTTCCCACTCAAGTTTCCATCCTTTGACCTGCCACTGTGGGCAGCACTCCCGATGAGACTCATCACCATTGCTGGCACCATTATGGTCTTGAAGTTTTCTAGTTTTTAGGGAGATCGACTCTCATGGTCTTTGCATTTTAAGCATTATGTATGGATGTTGATGCCTTTTATTATATTCTTCTGATAACTTTGCCCATCATTAGATATTTGAAGCCTTCAACTTCTTATAGTTTTGTAGTCAGGAGTTCCAATTATTTTGGTAATCACAATTATAATATGCAATAACCATGTACATCATAGGGGTGAGAAGCATGCATAAACTTATTTTGATTTGTTGATGTCAGATTGATGATTGAGTAAAACTTGATTTATATACAGTTAATCCACAAAATAGCACAAAGGGCTGCATTTGATTGCCTTTGCTTAATTTTGATGGCTAAACATGTTAGCACACAAATCATGGCATAAAATGCATGCACTAGAGGCATGAATCTTCTTTGTATTATTTTATTTTATTTGTTATTGTTCTTCTGATTAGCTTTGATATTTTCCCCATCATTTGAAATCTGTTTACGAATTATTTTTGTATGACTGTGTCCACTACTCCACTGCCACTTAAATGCAGAGGATCTACCTTCGTTAGTTACTAGGCTAATCTGGTTGAGTCTACTCTTTCAAGTAGAGGATAAGGCTTTATAAAGCTATTGGGTTGTGGACCTCATCAATTCTACCCTTTGGATGTAGATGATCAAACTTTGATAATTATTAAAAGTTATTGGCCTCCCATGTTCGCTCTAACTCCGTGTGTAGAGGATCAGTCCTTGGACAATGTTAGGAAACGCTTGTAGAAAATCGGGAAATTTTTTGCTGGAATTAATTGCAGCAATTGGGGGAAAACAAAAATTGCAAAGAACTTGGAAAAAAAACAAGAAATTGACTTTTTGATTGATAGTAGATGAAGAAAAACAGCAAGATACAATGGATCTTTTATTGGAGAGGAAGATTCGTCTCTCCCAAATCTCTAGACGCTGCTAGAGCCCACAAAAGAACACAAAAACAACAAACTGCAGGAAGAAAACACAAAAAACTAACCATAGCCCCCCAAAACATACTTAAGCATACAACAATTATGTAAAAATCCCAAAACAGCTTCTTTTATTTGAATTTTCCCTCCTAAAATCTCCTTAATATTCTCCTAATTAATCTAGTGGGCCCCACAATTAAGGGTGTCAGGCATTGGGCGGAACCTGCTAGTTTCGCCTCTGGTAACAATGGACCGGTCTATCAACGCTCCCCTCCCAAAGAGCCACCTTGTCCTCAAGGTGGAAAGAAGAAAATTGATGCTTCACCCTCTCATATGGTTCCCTAATGGCATCATAGTCAGGTAAGTTCTTCCATTTATCAACACTTCCATAGGCTTGCCTTCTCTCTAACGAACCCCTTTAAGCTTCAGTGGTTCCAAAATCACCTCCATATCCTATGTCAACGTCCTTCGTAATTCTGACCTAGCTGCATGATCCCCCACAACTCTCCTCAACTATGATATGTGGAACATTGTGTGTATAGAAGTAGTCGGGTTTAACTTCAAGCGATAATCCACTGCTCCAATCCTCTCCAAAATCTCATAAGGGCCAAAGTATTTCGGGGCTAGCTTCTCATTTCTTCTGTTGGCTGCTATTCTCTGTCTGTAGAGTCGCAGTTTTAAGAATACCATCTCCCCAGTGGCAAACCGGATGTCCTTCTTATGTCCATCCACCTGTTTCTTCATAATTTGTTGAGCCCTCAGCAGGTGTCTTTTTAACTCCTCCAGCATCCAATCCCATTGCTCATAGTACTGCACTACTAAAGATACTGGAGTGCAACTCTGCCCAAAATGTACCAAATGTGGAGGGTCTCTTTCCGTACAACATCTTGAAGGGAGTCATCTGGGAAGCCGAATGGTATGATGTGTTGTATTAATATTCTGCTCATACCAACCACTTGGCTCATACCCTAGGTATTTCTGACGCAGAACACCGTAAGTATGTCTCAAAACTCCTGTTTATCACTTCTGTCTGCCCGTTAGTCTGAGGGTGGTAAGAGATACTCCTCTTCAATATTGTCCCTTGTAACAATTCACTTCAAAAGTGATTGAGAAAACACTTTATCTCTGTCATATAGCTTGACCACCTCTCTATGAAAGTGGCCGCTTTGTGTCGTAGGAGAATAAAGTGATCATACTTTCTCAATCCGTCAACTACCACCAAAATTACAATAAACCCTTACAATCGTTGTAGCCCATCAATAAAGTCCATGGTGATATCCTCCCACACCCTATCAGGTAGAGCTAGGGGTTGAAGTAACCCTAAGGAGCCATAGTTATGTACTTGTTCCTCTGTCACACCTCACATCTAGCCACAATTTCTTCCACATCCTTGTGCATCCCCCTCTAATACAGCTCCACTGCTAGTCTCCCGTATGTCTTCTGTACGCCTGAGTGACCTCCAACAGCACTCCCGTAGAACTCTTGCAACAACTGTGGGATATGAACTGAGGTCCTAGTCATCACAAACCTCCCTTGGTATAGCATTCTCTACCCCATCAAAGAATAACCCGGATGACTGGTCTCATCCTTCAGAAGATCTACTCTGATTTTTCCCAACTCCTCATCCTGCCCACTCTCCTCTTTGATGGCCCCTCAATCCAGCATCAAGGGTATCGACATGGTTAACTTCCAATGCATCTGGACAAGGCATCAACTGCCTTGTTCTCTAATCTAGGCTTATAATGAATCTCAAAGTAATAGCCTAAAAACTTGGGCAATCACCTCTAGTGTTCCTCATCTACCATCCTTTGCTCCAACAGGTACTTCAAACTCCTCTGGTTTGTCCTGATAATAAAATGCCGACCCATTCAGTAGAGTCTCAACTTCTGAATTGCTAACACAATGGCCATTGGCTCCCTCTCAAATTCAGACTTCAGCCTAGCTCCGACTGTCAACACCTGACGGAAGAAGGCGATGGGTCTATGATTCTACATGAGTATTGTCCTCCTACACATCCTGAGACACCTGACTCTATCACAAAAACCTAACTGAAATCCGATAAGTCTAAAATCAGTATTGTGGTCATGGCTTTCTTCAGCCTCTCAAAGGCATGTGTCGCTGCTCTCCCCACAAAAAATCATCATTCTTTAGTTGCTCTGTTAACAATCAGGCTATGGTGTTATATCCTCTCACAAATCTCCTATAGTATCTAGTCAACCTAGGAAACCCCTCAGCTCTCTCAGATTCCTAGTTGAGGTCATTTATGCATTGCCTCAATCTTTTTATGATCTAAGACCACCCCCTCCTGAGAGACTACATTCCCTAGGTACTCCACACTGGCCTGTGCAAGGCAATTCTTCAAATTGGCCCGAAGTTGATGCTCCTGTAATACTTCCAAGATCACCCTCACGTGCTCCAAAGGTATAGTTTGAACACCCTATTCACGAGCGACTGGAAGTGGTAGGGGCGTTTGTGAGTTCGAATGACATCACTAAGAACTCGTAATGTCTCTCATGTGTCCTGAAAGCAGTTTCAGGACATCCTCCTCCCTCATTCTAATCTTGTGGTTGCCCGACTTCAGATCCGCCTTGGTGAACACTACTCCGCACAACTCATCCAGTAGCTCATCGTTCACTAGTTTTCACATTCTTTATTTATTCACAAACTTGCGCTCAAATTCAGTTTGTCTTCTTTGTTTTTTCCCTACGTTTTCTTTTTTGGTGTCCCAAAATATTTAAATAAAATTTCTCAATGCTTTCATATGATCCCCACGAGGCTGTAGCAGAAATAGGCCAAGTTACCATGCTAATAAGGATATTTTGGGTGTGGTGCATGTGGCATTATGACCTATGAAATTATTCCTACCGCATAAGCAATGATATTGGCATTTGTGCAAGGTATTTTGCTTGCAAAATCAGTTATAATTTACTTGAAAGTGTGCTCCCCATCAAAATGATGCGAATGAGTTGCACATGAGGTTCTTAAAATGCTTGACCCAAACTTGAATAACTAGAACTTGATCTATTTAATCCAAACCCGAATTTGCAAATTATAATGCAATCAATTTCGTGTTTTCAAGTTGACCCAAACTCGTATTTTTTAAGTAGGGTTCGCTTTGAGTTATTGGATCTGGTCATTTATTGACACACACACACACATATATATATATATATATATACCCTTAATGTTTACTTGTTTTTTTTCTTTTTAAATTTTGTTATGATCTTTTTGTATTTCAAACTTTTTTGAAGATGAATGTGTGAGCTTCACACCCAAACTTCCTCCGATGCATGCACTAGTAATTTCCTTGTGCCATAACTCGAGCGATATTGGAATACATTCTTGGATCATTTCAATATTCTTGATACATCATAATTGCCCGTTTTGGTGAGCCAATTCTTCATGAATTTCTGTCTATTTGACCGCATCTTTGTCTCAGTGATTTTCTTGCGTGTCCATGTACATTTGAAGTTGTCAGTTCATGTTGTCTGCTGCATTTGACATTATCAATAGTAAGATGAAATTCCATGCGAATTTGAGCCAATTTCTTATGAAATTGTGTCCGCTTTCTTCCATTGCCCTTTTATTTGATTGGTCAGACTTATGGATCGCATAAGAAATTCGTAGAAGAAATATTATAATGAGAGCCAAAGTGGCTTCAATATTGTAGGGAATAAAAAAATTGAAATCTAAAACTCCTGCCATCTAGTCAATTGTGCATAATTCATCAAAATTAATTTCTATGCTGTTTTTTTTTTTTTTCAAAAAGGTTTTCCATTCATATAGCTATATCATAATTTTGTGATCTATCTGCTTATAATTTCATTTATATTTCATTTTCTAGGATTTAATAGGTCTTTATTGTATCCATCAAGATTTATATTAGATTTCTAATATTTTCATTATTCCTCTCATATCATATTAGTCATTTGCATGATTTGTCTAATGTCCTTGACTCCATGCAAATATTCAAAAAACATGGCTACTAATTATGATAATCAGAAGTTTTTTTGCTGATATGAACTGGAGGCACATGGAATTTTAAAAGATAGAAAATTAAAATGGTCCAATTTTTTTTTTGTTGGTGTATTCGCTATAATACAATGGAAATGACAATTTGGATCGATAGTGTATCACTTTTTTTGTTGCATTTTAGCATCCAGTTGAATCTGTTTCTTATTTTGCTGTTTATGTTTTAATCTATTTTACAGAGGCGATATATCTCTTCGATGAGTGGACTTCTCGTTGAGAAAGTGACGGCAGAGCTGCTTTTCCTTTCAATGGCGGTCGAGATGAGGAATTCTTTGTGATAATTTTAGGATTCAGATTGTTGTTGCTATATCATGAAAATTTTCATCATAGTATATCAGAAGCTGCGCTCTGTACCTCTGAGAGCGCAGTAGCAATGGATTCTTAGAAATTTGCACAGCACAGCACAGCTTGTCTTATCCGTTTTAAGTTTACTTATAGCATTATTGATAAGAATAATTGTGTTCTCTGATTGTAGCCTCCTCTTAATATATTCTTAGAAAATTAAGCCATTTACCTGCGTTCTGAAATGCCTATGCCCAGTTTAATTTCCCGGCTCTCTTACCTGCAAAGCTTTATCAATTACGTGAACAAAAACATTTTTTTTACCACCTAGCTATCAGTTGCTCTGGTATTTCTTTTTTTCATGTCAATCTATTGATTTAGCACCACAGGCATACCCTTATCATAACAAGACTGTTTCCAAAGCATTATAAAGAAATTCTTAGGGGCTGTTTGGTAGCACCCCGGATTTAATTTAAGTAAGATTTCATAATTCTTCTAAATCTGGATTTCAGAAATCATGAGGGGCTTTAATCCTGTTGGCTATAGAGTAGGATTTACGGAGCGGACTCTTTCTCTAGCGCCATGGATTTCGTAAATCCGATAAAATGCAAGATTTCGGAAATCCAGGATTTCTCGTTTGCTGTGAGATTAGGCCGTTTGGCTGGATTTTGCTCGAATCTCAAATCCGGCCTAAATCCAGCTACAAAACAGCCCCTTAGGCTATGATAGGGAAGTACGATTATTATTTTAAACTATTAAAGATAACAAAAAAGATTGCCATTTTCTGCACAGTAATGGGACGCTTTTTAACTGGAAGCCAGCGTTGGCTAATGGACGATATGCGTGTTTGTAGAGCTGTTATTAAAGTGCTTAATCTGCGCGTGGGTGCCTTTTAGGGATGTTTGTATTGCTCTCTACACATAATTTTATGGCTACCAACTTTTTTTTTATTATAATCTTTTTGAGATCATTCGCATAATAAAAAAAACTACAATCCAAAAATAAGGCAAATTATTGGGTCAGGTGACTGGAGGCGGAAAATAAGTTCGGACATCTAATAAAAATTTGCCGCGTAACCTGCGCTTTTGACTTGGGCTTTAGTTGCGTTTTACCTGCGCTTAATTCAAAATAATATTTTATTAATATCCGGACCTATCTCCGCGTCCGATAACCGGATGCAATAATTTGTCCAAAAATAAACACCGAACTACAATTCGAGAGAACAGGATAGGACTGAAAGAAAGGGCAGGAGCAATTGATCACTAAAAATAAGAACAAAAGAGCCAAATAGGCAAATAAGGGCAGCTAAAATATAAAAAATGAGATTCAAAATTCCCCAAAAAAATTCAAAAACTCTACCTTTACAAATTGGATATTGAATAAGTTTCCTTGGCTGCGACATTGGCCATTCAAGACGAGAAATTATTACATGCGGAGTTTGGACGTAGTCCATATTCCAATTAGAACCGGTCATGTCGCCTATACACAGGCTGACATAGCCTACTCTTATTGGAGTTTAGACGAAAGCTATGTCTGGACTACGAACGTAATAATTTCTCCATCTAAGATGCCAGTTGGTGGCCATAAAAACCATCAACATGGATTGCCTGGAGCACATCTGGGGGCTCAACTTGTTGCTTCTAAATAGAAAATGTATGTTAATAAACAGTAGTTTTATTTTCACTTATTGTTAATGTGAAAGAGTTTTTATTATTTAATTATATTTAATTAAATAGTGATTTAGAAAAAAATTAAAATTAATGTAATACTAATTATATTTATATTATTTTTACCTTAATATAGATCTAAATTTTTTTAGAATTTATCCTATTGAAAAAAAAAAATTTCCAAACGAAGTCATATTGAGATATCTTGAAGAACAAATTTTTTTTAATCCAAAATTAAGTATTTAAATAATCTTAATAATTAATATTTGTTCATTAAAAAATTATTATCTTAAGTTAATTGATATTATTTTTATTTATTTATTTTTCTAAATAAAAGTTATTATTTAACTAGCTTAGTAAATTATTTACTTATTAATTCAAATATTTAATTAAATTGACTGTTATTTAATTAGTTTAATTAAGATTAATATAAATAAAATAAAAATATAATAAGATATTTAGTCATATATATCCTTAAATCTTGAAATATATAGCGAAATAATTTATCTTAATTTAGCTTGATTTAATATTTATCATATAACCCATATTACTTTGGACTCGTTCCATAAGAGTTATCTGCTCAATTTCTTTTAATTTTATTTTATGACTCAAGATTAAAAAAAATAAAAAATATATATATAGAAATATGGCAAGAAATCCAAATATAGATGAGAAATTACAAACACATAAGGGTCATCATAGTCTTAAAAATTATTTTCCAATTCTCAATATTGATTAGTTGGGAAATTAGGATTCTTGGTGCTTGGGCTCTAGACTCTCTTGTCTAGAGATTTGGGAGAGACGATCCTCCTCTCGAAGTGAAGATCTCTTATATCTTGCTTGGAGTTTGTTCCTTTTGCTTTCTATAAAGACATTGCTATCGTGTGCTTGCTTTTCCACAACGTTTCTACATTTTTCTCGCTGTTTTTACATATTTTTGTTAGGTTTGCTTGTGAACTCAAGTAGATCCGATAGGATTATTTGCGAACCCAAGTATTTCCTATCACATCCACCCCAAGTGTACAAGATACCATTGGACAACGCAACCCATGGTTGTCGACAAGGATTCTTCTGTCATGTTGGGTCAACTACCTTCTCTGACTAAGTAGATCAGGGACCACGATGGCCCGAGATGACGGAACCATGGGATCTTGATCGGGCTCATCATCACTCCCCCTACCATCCGCTTTAAGTGCAAGATGGTGAAATTTTAAATTTTAAAATATCAAATCTTCAAACACCCTTCCAAATTCATGTTTGTGCTGCTACTATATGCCAGATAACACGCATCTCAATGTATCAGATTGACGACTAGCCTTAATCGAAAGTTCTCTCTCGTGATCGAGAAGGGTAATTAACTATAGGGGCTTGCACCTATAGGAAACCATAACTCAGATCATAAAGTCGCAAAATGAGGGCGAAACCTTTGGGTAGTGTCTTACCTACAAACCCATCTGCCTTCCCAAAATTTACCCCGGAACTTAATACGTTAAAACACCTTTCGAAGAAAAAACAGTGGGGGAGGTCGGGGCCAAATTTTTGGAGCTCACAGTCCAACTTGCCTCTGAAGCTGCTGTTTGATTTTGATTTTCTAATATCTTCTTCACCATCTCATGAAGATCTGAAACCTTGTCTTTCACAGATGAAATTCGATCCTCCACCATCGCTTTTATTTGGCTCATCTACCCTTCCAATCTTTTTTCCAGCGCATTCACTTTGTTAGTCGCCATCAATTCTCGGATTTTTTGTAGATTCAAAAATTCGATCTTGATCCCAAAAATCAGCAACTTCCCCCTTCACCAGCCAAAAAAAGTGACAGCTTAAATTCAAAAAAACAGCCCACAAACGGTCTCAAAATTTACTCTGATACCAATTTGTTAGGAAGTACTTGAATATTTCAAATAATCCCTAACAAGAAAGACAAAAATAGCACAATGCTCCACAAATTTGATGGAAAAATTAGCAAAACAGTCATTTATATTGAAGAAATCAAACTAAAAGAAGAAATAAAACAAGATACAATTCATCCTTGCCCAATTCGAGAGGAGGGTCATTCTCCCCAATCCCTAGACGAATCTAGGGCCCAAAACACCAAGAATAAGAACTCCAAAATCAGCCACAAAACAAAGCATAACCCTAACCCTAATTTTCCCCCTTTCTTAAAGCATCAAATTAATCATTTAAAAAATTAAAATAAATGCAATTAATCATTTAAACCAAATGACAAATCAGCCCTTGCCGCCCCCTCCTTTGGTTCCAAAACATTTGAATTTGAATTAGTAAGTCCCATCTCCCCCTCTCTCTCACTTGTCGCCCGCCTCCTACACACTTGAGCCGGCCCCTGTGGCAAGGGGCCGACTGGACCAATCTAACAGGATCATAGACTTCTCCCAGTTTTTAATACTAAATTTTATTTGTATTAAGGCTAATATGAGTATGAACCTCTCGTCCTTCATCATGAAACATAAATACAATACAATCATATATCTTAATAAACCCTTCTCATATAAAAATATTTTATAGCAGGCATCACTTCCCCCTCACAGTTGGAAATCTTCCAACAAATCAAGTTGTCTTTCACACACCAAAGTAGAAAAATAGCTCACTCCACACCAAAAATGATACTTTAATTCCATTATAACAAGAGATTAATATTTTTCAGACCTCTTCAACTGCTCATGGATTGAAAAAAAAAAAAAATTTTAAGCTATCAAAATCTCTCCAAAAACTAAATGCCCTTAAGTGTGGATGTGTTTGCCTTGAAACTAAAAGAAGCGTTCGTCTAGAAGGTTATATGCGTATTGCATTAACCAGGCTGCTTCATTGTCATTGCGCAGTGTATCTTTTGCGTAACTTACCTATAAGGATAATCTGACGTTTTATTCATAATTATACAGTACATGTCAGCTTCTGTCATTACAAATAAAATAAAATAAAATATGGTAAAGAAGCGCTCTTGGTTCTCATTTTTAGAGGAGAGGAACAATCTCAAATCAATGTAAATGCCGTTCAAATGTTGCCCAAGAAAAAGAAAAAAAATGTAGACAGATGGTTTGGATAAACAAAAAGGAAGTAAACAGAAAAATGGTTTAACCATTGAATCATGCTAAAATTTCCTCAAGTTAACTATACAGAATCTTGCAAAATTAAGTAGCAAAAACTATAGAGCATTAATCTTAACAATTAATTTCAGCAAAAAAACTAGTGTTTAATTGGATTTTCATCACATAAAAGAAAATGTGCCAATAATAACAAAAAATTACCCAATAGAAATGTACAAAGTCGAGCTGTGAAAAAGTTGTATCCTCAGGACTTCAGCTGTGCATGGATGCTTGCACGGACTGTATGTCTGGGAGCAAGTGCATTTTCATTCACAAGGATTTGTTCAACAAAATCCACACGGATTGAATTGAATTGATAATGCTGCAAAATTCACCATAGTAAACAAAAATATAGCCTATGAGATAAAAAATCTGAGAAATGAGAGCCAAGAAGAAAACCAGAATCTAATGGAACCCAAAATTTCAAGCAATGAATATGTGTTAGACAAAGTGCGACGGTGTGGGCAAATTCGTGATAGAGGCTTGAAACGGAAGAACACTTTTTCAAAGGGTGTGCAACACAGAATGTGGATGTTGCAATGTGCTTGAAGTGAATTAGTTGTTTTGGCTGAGCTTCTACCAGACAAGATGTTGAATTAAAAGATGGCTTTGAAATCTATCATTAGAACCACAATTTGGAAGAAAGGAGACTGGCGAGATTTGCCATAATTAGTAATCCTCCTTGGTAGAGCGATGAAAATTATAAGCAATTTGAAAAATTTTGTTCAGAGGTATTTGTGGTTCATGATTGCTTATAACTTAATAAAATGGCCATCATGGCTTTTTCTCTTGAACAAATGTTTAATTTTCCCAAGGAAGCATAATTACCAGACTAATCAAGACAACAGCTAGGACTCTCACCCTAGGGGTTCAACTTACCTAAGAATAATGAATCGCTGTTGGATAAGAAATTCATAAATTCCTTAACGATGCATGAACACAAACACGACATGATATGGACACAAGACACATCTATCATTGAAAATATAGAACATGAATATTCATTAGAAAATGCATTATATTTTTTATATCTTAATAATTAAAAATAATGCATAGAAATTAAACAAATAGAACAAATAAGAAAATTATGATCCCAAAGAAATTACAAAGAAATAATAAGGAAATTATAACTCATTAATGATATTATAATTTAGATTTTAGTAAGTAAAATATAAAAGATAAAAATGATAGTTCGAAAATAAAATTTTAATTCAATTATTTCGGACACATGTCCATTTTATTTTGAATCATATTTCAATCAGACACATTTTCGTCAAGTTCAACACATGTAAGATGGATGTTGGATTCGTGATCATGTTCCTGTCTGATACATGTCAGACATGCGTGCCTCCTTGATGAAAAGTGTCGATGTATCATAGGAATCTATCATAATGGTTTGGCTTTATGCCAACCAACATACACATCAGCACAACTAATTCATTTTGCCATTCGCCTAAGGGAAAAAGGTATTTTATGGTTTTATTCTCCTTATTTAATAAAAAATTAATAATAATTTAAATTTAAATTTAAAAATTTAAGTCATATTTTATAAAATGTGACTTAAATTTTTGAAATTTAAATTTAAATTATTATTATTATTATTTTATTAAAGAAATGTTTAATATTTTTTCTAAGAAAAATTATAATTACTTGAAAATTATATTTAATAAATGTTTAATAAAAAATAACCCAAATATCCTTACATTTAACACAATTAACTCCAACATTGGATGTTAGGACCAAAAAGGCCTCATTTTAAAGAATTGAGGGATCAAATTGGTCCCTTAAAAGAGTTGGAGATTATTTTAGTCCCTCAAAAAGAGTTGAGGGGACATTTTAGTCCTTTTTTCTTTTTATTATGTATATCATAAGATGCATTAGAAATCTTAGACCTTTAGTCATCCACCACAACTTTTGTATGTGAAGCTTATTGTACCAACAAGTTTAGAAGAACCAAGCAATCAGCTAATAATATAACCATTAAACATTTAGAATTATGTTAGAATATTTCATTATCAAGAAGAAGACTAATTGATTTTGGTTCACTGTTCCTGCCATTCTTTCTATACTAAATCCAAGCCATCAATTAAACTTTCAAGTCTTGGCTAATGTTGCCTATTTTGTCGAAATCCAGAGTGCGTGAGAAGCTAAAAGATCGAGACTACCCAAAAAAAAGTATACTTGCAAGTATTTGATTCGTTGGATCTATTTTTAGCTTGATCAAAATCCCCAAGCAAAATGTCAATAAATTAAACATCAGATAGCATATTAAATAAAAAAATGGCCAGAGAAGCAACAACAAAAGCATACCTTTTGTTTCCAGGTCAAATCATTGATGCGGTAAAATGGTTCTAATAATGTTACTCGATCCCCTTCTTTAATCTACACCAGGAAAAGCATAAGATTATAGTTCCTCCACCATAGAGTTCACTCTAAGATAATTTTGAATTCATATGATTCTAATAAAATACACTATGCATGAGTATTTAGCTATCAAATTATTATATATTTGAATATTTAAAAAGGCAATGTTGATTTATGCATTGTAGAATATCATTACTAGAAGAAAATGATAGCTTAAAAACTGTGTACTGGCAAATAAGAATAATATGAGAAAGCTCAAGAACATCTTACTGCATCTTGGTGCACTCCGTAAACTGAAAGTATGAAACAACATTGATTCGAATCACACACTACATAGTACCTAAAAAATTAGGAGGAAAATTTTAGTAATCAATATCATTATAGAATGAATGACACTTCAGTCAAAAAATATGCCTACTATTATTTCAGTGCCACAACAAAGATTATGTGACAGCTGCGTGATATCTTAGATATTGCTGTCTATTTCATATTTCTTCAAATCTCTTCTTGCATATATATATGATTCTGCTGAAAAACAAGTTATTTCGCAGAATGTAATTGACTCACTCAGAAATAAATAAATCAATATATAATTAGATATTTTAGAATACAAAGGTAATTGAGATACTTCTCAGTGAATCAGCTTATATTTCATCAAAGTAACTACCGTCTCTTAAGCACCTTATAAATGCCATACGAATAAGGTATTTCAAGTGACAAAACAGCCCCAAGGAAATTTGCATAAATTAGATGTATTGTTAGATTATAGAGGCCAGTGTCATCCAAACAAAGCTGTGTTAAAATAATTCAAGTATAAATTTAAGAAAGCGTACCATTGCTCATTTAGAATTTGTTTAAATAGTATTAAGTGAGCAGCCAGTAATAGATATCTTACGATGGAGCAATATCATCATGCTTCACAAAGAGAAGTACTTTTCCAACAATCATAACTGCTTTGTTCAGCCCCTGTGTTAGGAAGTTAAGGTTGACCTTTTTGTGCGTTGAAATTACTTCAAAAACATGCAAAAAGAATACATTTTAAATTAGTATTTCATAGTTACTTGAATTCAATGATAGCTAGAATCAAGAATTCGTAAGTACTTACTAGAAACTTCACCTAAAGATGCCAGCAAAGGAGCTAATCGTTTAGACCCGGCTTGACCCTGCAAAAAAACTAAGTTCATGACTTTATGTAAAAACTGGATAAATCTACGAAAGTGAAACTTTAATCAAATGCATATTATAATGCTAGACATCAGCAACAATACTTAGATTTAAATAACTTTTCTGAAATTTTTTACAAACTCAAATCATACAGCAGAACACGAGTAGTACTGTCTTAACTACTATAACATACCTTTCACTTTTTGCAAAGAAATATAAATAAATGAAAAGGCAGTATAAGACCAGCCTTGCAGCCGAATTAATATTTAATGAGCACATTCAAAAACCAAAGGAAAGAAAGAAACGAATAGGCAGTATATGACCAGACTACCAATTGGCTTACGTGGATGGACTTCTTCTTTCGTCCGTCTTACCTAGAGCACGTGCCTATAAATAAGGGTGTTCTAAGGCAGTTGAAATTCTAGTTTTGCAAAAGCTAAGTTTTCTTCAACCTTTCAGGGCTTCAGGCCTTATTCATGTCTGAGACTGGAAGTACTCTGGAGAGACTCAGTTTGTTCAAGCAAAATACTAGTAGTCTGGCTTATTCTTTTCATTATTTTCCTATTCAACCCTTTAAAAAGTGATTGATTAACAGTGTAATTAATGTATTTTTCAGATTTGTTATATATATTGCTTCATTGATTGCAATTTTCATGATTATTTCATAATGCTTGATTTTATTAGAGATGGTAACTTCAAACTAAAATTTAATTCCGTTTCTTTCTGTTAATCATCTTAGTAGTAACTAATTGTTATTGTCATATAGTTCGCATCCCTGAAAGATTTGCATGATTATCCTCGCAATTATTACATTAAATTATTTGCACCTTATATAGAAAAACTATAAAAGAAAGTACCGCATTAAATTATTTGCACCTTTTCATTTAATCAAGCAGTAATTTTGATGTGAAACTACTAGGAGTTACGTTCAAAATTAAAAAGAGAGTTGTTAAAGTTTGCTATTATAATTTTATGGGATCATGCAAGATAGAGTTAAGATTTAGAAACGTTAACTTTGCTTAGGCAAAAATAGTTGCAAAACAAGATTAACCAAAACGAATCTTTCAAAGTTCTAGGCAAATTTCATATGCAAAGTACAATAACAAAACCCAACGTTTAACAACGAGAATTTCACCTTGGGGCCATGTCACTCAAAGATTGGTGGACTTTTGGCGGAGATAGAAGACCCAAGCGATGACGGAAGTTACCACTAGAGAAAGGGCGCCAAGGAACTTCGTCGGAGGAAAAGTAGCCGGCGGGGATGGAAGACGTAGGTGACCGTCAAGGCTCCACGTGTGCTTTGAAAATTGTCGGTCGTAGATGCTTGCAAGGATCGGAACGACTCTCTCCAAGTACTCTTCCACGGTTGTCTCGTCTTCAAATCCTACGTCGAAACAAGGTGAACGTAGAATGTTGATGCTCCCGTCGGCGTTGAACACAAGACCCCACTCAAGCTCCGGATCCGCCATTCAACATTGAAGTGGATGTTGAAGAGGATCGTCGTCTTCTCTTGATCCCAAAGGTTGTGAACATCCAATGATACCCCAAGGAGGATGGGGGAAGAGGCTCGGCCAAGGTGGGAGAAGGGGTGGGGCGGCGGGTTATGGGGAGGGGAGTTGGTTTAGATGAGGGGGGAGGGGAGAGATCTAACCAAATCTGAAATTATTTCAGATTTTGATTAATTTGGGAGGGAGGTTATTTAGAATTTGAATTTCAAACCTCATATGATCAATGCCATAACCAATCAAGGCCGGCGGCCAATAGGGGAAGAATGAGGGATTTATTCCAATCCTGAAATTAAATTCAGAATTAAGTAAATTTGGAGGGAAAATTTATTTGAAATCCGTTTGAATTTCAAATTAGAAGTAGAATTAAATGGGGCAATCAATGGGGGAGCCCATGCTAGGGCCGGCGGCAAGATGAGGAGGAGAGGGAATTTAGTAGAGAGCTAGGTTTCCAATTGGAGGTGATGATGTGGCGATGGAATGAAGATTTCAATTTGATTTAAATTGAAATTAGATTTGTCATGAAAAACTTTCCAAATTAGGAAAGATTTTGAAATTTGAGAAATTCAAATTTCAAATTTGAAACTTAGGATGGGTGGGTGGGATGATGGGTGGAGAGAGGGGGTCGCCGGCAAGGAGGTCGGACGGGAAAGTGAGGTGGGGGGCGGCGGGCTCCAAGGAGGGGAGGTGGCCAAGTACGGGTTCGGCCGGTTGGATCTCAATGGGACGGGGAAGGAGATGAATGAAGCACAACAGGAAGATGATAACGTAACCACGAGCCGCGGACTCTTCCAACGACTGGTGGGCCTTGCGATTTGCTCACCTTGAGCTTCTCCTCCTTCTCAAGCACTCATGCAAGACAAAGTAGAAATAAAACACAAATTTCATTCAAATGTTCATTAAAATTAAAATGATACAAGAGACCACTATATATAGGTCTTGACTCATAAAAGTGACAAAGACTAAATTGTCCTCTGGGCTACAAAGAAACATAACTCCCCACAGGGGTAAAATGGGAAAACAGTAAATCAAACAATACAATAATAAAAGTACATCATGTCATCTAAATCAAAAGTAGAGACGCTGAATCGTGGCCGTCGATCTGCGGTTTCGCCGGCGATAAACATGTCGGTAGCGTCTGTCGATGTCCTCATCAAATTTTCATATTAAATTTGCATTATACCCTAAGATGCGGTGAATTACATTTTCTTAGCTTGGATCAGGAATACCTACACACACAGAGCAAAAACGAACAAAGATTAACATACAAAGGAGAAAGTGTGCTTGATGTTCAAAATTTTGGGAGCCACGGTATAGCAAAAGCGAACAGAAACACAAATTATTGCAACCCCAAACAAATTCATAAATCTAAATTTATGGTATAACCCTACCAAGAGCATCAAAAGGTTTAACCATCAGCGTTTTTATTCAAAATGTCCACTAATAAATGGACTTCATACATAGTGTGAAATAATCACAGTCCATCAGAATTTTGCTGTAATAATCTTCCTTCAAATGTGGCTAAGAGAATAATGTGTGGGTAATGAGTCCACATATGAATTGTTCTAAAACAACAACATCAAGCCTTTATCCCACTATGTGGCTACATGAATTTTTTTTTTCTCAATTGTGTTTTATTAAGAGTCAAATTTTTATTTAAATATAATAAAAAAGTCATTTCTAATATCTTTTAACCAAGTTTTTTTAGGTCTATCTCTATCTTTCTTAACACAGGCAAAATCTAATACATCTACTCTCCTAATTAGGTCATCGGAAGGCTGACGTTGTATGTGACCAAACCATCTAAAGACGACTCTCTCTAATCTTATTTGCCACTGGAACTACTCTAACCTTTTCACGTATATACTTGTTTCGAATTCTGTTTATAAGAGTGAAGCCACTCATCCACACAAACATCCTCATCTCCGCAACACTTAACTTACTTTTATACTTGTTTTTTAATAACCAACATTCTGCGCAATAAAACATTACAGATCTCACTAGTATCTTATATAATGTTTCCTTAAGTTTGTGGAGTACTTTTCTATCACACTACAAGCCCAATGCATTCCTCCACTTCAACCATCTAACATGAATTATACTAATAATATCCCCATCTATTTCACCCTCACTTTGAACAATAGACCCGAGATATCTAAAAAGGGTGCTCTTATTAATGACTTGATCACCCAAAGTCACAGCTCCCCCACTAAATCTATTACTGCTAAAATTATAATCCATGTATTCATTTTAGATCTACTCAAATGTAAACCTTTAAACTCTAAAGTTGACATCCATAATTCAAGCTTATCTTCAACTCTCTCTAGCCTTATCAACAAGAAGAATATTATCAGAAAAAAGTATATATCAAGGTACATCCTCTTGCAAATGTCTAATAAGAACATCCATAAATAGAGCACAAAGATATGGGCTTAAAGTTGATCCTTGATAAGAAAAGTGGAGGGTTGTGTTAGGTAATCGATAGCTAGCATAATACTTGTCGAATAATCATGACATGAATTCACATATGAATTGTTCTGAATAAAGAAAATTACTTTGAATGGCCATTTCACATGGGATACCAATGAAAGGTGAAGAAGACTACCTTCAATGAGTTATCAAGTTTGTCAAGAAGGACAACGATTTTTTTGACTTCTTTATCAGCGTTTAGTCCGGGATCCTTGAAGGCAGCTGCTTCAAAACCATGAAGAGCTCTTTCATAGTTCTCAAGGTACTTATTAGCCTAGGTCAGAAAAAAAATTGAAGAGACAAAAGTCGTATCAATTTTTTTTAAATGTTTGATTCAAGAATGATGGGTCAACAGGTGACCGTGAGACTTACCGTAGCACAGTTGAAGTAGAGGTCTGGACTAAGTTTCATTAGTTCGTCCTTTTCCTGAAAAAATAATTTCCAACATAAGATCCAATGCACTTGCAAAATCAGCTAAATAAAACAGTTACACTTACATGTAAAGGGATATAGCAGGATTTCCAAAACAAACAAATTACTCATCAACATACCTTCATCATCAGACTTATACCAATTAATTAACTTAGAAATCTTAAAACAAATACAAATTGAAAGTTTATATTCGATTCTCGTTTAGAGAGCCAACGATGCTGTTCCTTGGAAAGAGAGAGAATGTCAAAAGGCTATGTTGATTTAAGAGATTCGATGAGTTTTGTTCTTACTGCATTTTTGTATGCTTTCAGAGATTGCTGTAATTTGGCATGATCCCATGCTCCAGTCACGAAGAAACTTGTAAGGTATGCATTTCCAAGATTGTCTGCGAAAATCATATATTAAGCTACAATAAAAACCTAGAGCTTGGTGTATCAGAATAAAGATCAAAAAGTGGACCATCATAAAAACAGTAAAGAATAGGGATTGTGACATTAGCAAGGATTGAAAAGAAAATAATCAACTGATCTCAATGACAAATAATGCCTCATTTTAATAGTTCACATGTTTGCTCTATAACACACTAAAAAATGAAGGAAAAAAAAATTGCTAGAAACCACAAGTTACTTGTTCAGATAGAGATGACCGAATAGCACAACATTACCAAAAATGAACCAAAATATTTTAAGGTGTCACATCCATTTGGACTCCAGTCAAAAGCATTTCCCATGAGCACTGATCATGACTCTTAGTTCAGGATCGAGAAAGTAGAAAATGCATCAAACTAGATTGTCAAAAATATAAAACACTTCATGATCATTCAAAAGATCCAAAACAATAATTCATACGAAAACATTCACAATTAATTTCATCAAAATGAATTATAGAGCTGCTAATTCACATCATAAATAATTAACACACACCAAATATTTTTAATATACATAACAAATATTATGTTTCTTTGATACACCTAATATTTTACATCAAAAGACTCTAAGATGAAAGAAAATCTAATCACCTAACTACGACCCAATATTTTCTTTTCCCTTATCTGAAAATAATAGTCATAGTAAAATTTAATGGGCAATAAAATTCAGTGGGAAAAATAACTCTAATACTAAGTTCAAAGTATAAAGGAAATAAAAAATATTCTCTGCTGATTATTTGAATTGGCTTGAGTATTAGTAATCATAAAAAGAATTAGCTCAATGCAATAAGCAGCTAATCAAGATACGATATAATAATCGGACATATGAAGGACACAGTCATAAGCAAAAAAGAATGAATGCACGTAAGGAATGAAATATCTCTGTCAAGTGTCCAATTTTGTATCCTATATTTTATCAATTTCTACATGAGAAACCTTTTTAGATCAATTTTGTATAGTTAGAGATTAAATTGAAGAAATTAGATATTTAGAGACAAAATTGACCACCTATGAATAGTAGGGGACATTAACATAGTATTTTAATTTATAATGATAGTATATTGACATGCACATGCGTGTGCGCACATATATATGTATCGAGATTATGCTAATAAAATAATCTTTAAAAAATATATTTTAAATCATTTTCACAAGATATAGAAATTAGGAAAAAAATTTAGGTAAGTTTTGATCTTTCCTTTTAACATTTTCGAGTATTGCAATTCGTCTCTCCATACTAGAATTTCGTCATCCAAATTACTTTCTTTAATAATTAGTTAAACATATGAAAGAACTTAGGTCTTATATCAAGCTCTCTTTTCTAAGTTGCCTCTTAATCTATTATATGCCTCAATTTCACTTTCATATAGAAAATTTGACAGTTTCTTAATTTTTTAACATAAAAGCCTAATATTGGTTTACTTTTTTTTTTTTGCACAACAATTTAATCTAGTGTTACTCTAATCTGCATATGTGGCTCATTCCCTCGACATCTACATAAGAAAAATATTATTTATAAAAGACATCTTCTGGCAATGCTAATCTGCAAGCAACTTAACTAACCCTTCTAATTATTTCTCACAAATTTACATATATGGTACTCAACTTCCATTAACCAAATTGAGTTATACCTTTCATAGCTATGAATTTCAAAAATACAAAATCACCAACACAATCCTCCCAGCTATCACAAAAATCTAAAACACATAATCTTAGGCTAGTGGAGTCAAGTCGAGCTCAAATAAGCCCAAGCTTAAGTTTGATATTAAACTTAATTAATTAATCAAGTTCAAGCAAGAGCATAAAACCAAATTAACGAGTTTGAGATAGCTTACGAGCGGCTTATTTACTACGAGTGTTAAAATCATTTAGGGGTTGGTTGGAAGTAAAGTATTTCAAATACATGGATTTTGAAAATATTAGTGTTTGGTTGGATGAAAAAGTAATGCAAAGTAAAGTAAATATAGTATAAACCATTTCAATTTATTATTGAGATAAACAAAACTCGCCCAATTTTGAGCGAGAACCATTTAAACCGCAAGAAAGCTCACTTGACCGCAGCCGTCACCACCGCCCGTCGGCCACCACCGCAGGTCGGCACCTCCTGCCACCTGCCACCACCCGCTTGCCACCATTGGCCACAAATGTTGCCACTTGTCGTCAGCCACTACCATGGTCGACCGTTACCAGCCAACATTGCCATCAACCACCACCGTAGCCCATCGCAACCACCCAAAATCAGCCACCATTGTCATTGACTTCTACCTGCCCCTGCTCGCCTATCACCACCATCATTAATCACCATCTGCCACCACCTCCGCTGGCCTTCGCCATCCACCACCATGGTTGGTGGCCAACTGCCGCCAGCCGTTGCATGTCGCCGCCCATTGCATGTCACCACCGTCGGCCACTAAACACCACAGCCGTCAGGCACCACCTGTCGTCACTATCTTTGGACTTTACACTACATTCATTTTACTCAAACCAAACAAAAAAAAAACATACATCTGCATTTACTTTATACTAATCCAAACAACTTCCAAGTATTCATTTAACAATGCCTTTTTTTTATATTGCATTAGCCAATCAAACAACCTCTTAGAGTCAAGCAACTATTGTAATAAAATGATCAAAAGAAGAAAAAATCAAAGCAAAAATAATAAAAAAACAATTTGATATAAGAACGTGAGATATAATCTTTAAATACTTTTAATAATTTTATACTTAAAATTCTTGGATTCTAATATATTTTAAGAATATTTTATATTCATATTTTTAAATGAGCCAACTCATGAGCTAACTAGTTTGGTTAGGATTGGAAAAAACTTGCTTGTTAGCCATCGAGCTCCGCTCATGAGCTATTTATTGAATTGAGCATAATCTGATTCACGAGTCTATTCGACTCAATTACACCCGTAGGATCTTCTAACACCATAATACTTCTTTCAAATTTGCCATCAATCCATGAATGAAATATTATATTGAGATGTAATTTATAGCTCAAACTTTCATGTATAATCTTCCACAATCTAAATAAGAATTTGCCATCTTTATCTAATATAATTGTCTTTGAAATCATATGTAATTTAAAAATCTCTTTCACATATAACCTTACCAATTTTGCAAAAAAATATTTCTTCTTAATAGACAAAAATTGAGTGTACATAGTCAATCTTTCAATTACAAGCCAAATACAATCATGACCCTCACTAGATCTAGAAAATCTCAAAACAAATCATTTCAACATCTTATTACTTCCGCTCTAAAATACAAATTGACTATAACAACCCATAGAATGCAAATGATTGTGATTGGGCAAGGGGCAGACGACACAACCAAGCATGAGTCACAATAAGGAATTTGATATTTTTAGCTAAGGCTTGAAATCAAAACAAAAAGATGAGATTTATGCTTCCTCCTCTAAGGTTTGACTTAATGCAAACATAAACCTAATATAAACTTAATTTTCTCTTCAAAGAAAACAAATAGATTTGTAACCCAATATCTAGTTTATCCTAAAATTTTTTGTTAGGCTTTCGAAAGGACAGAAGAGCAAAGCTAGTGAAAAAAGTTTGGCTAAGCAGTATTCAAGGTATTGAATTTTCATTTAATAAAATTTGACATTTATCAAAAATAGTAGACATATTTTCATTTAGAGCACTATGTATCTAGGTAATAAGGTTAATATTGAAATATTAATAGTATAATTTAATAAATAAAGCCATTAGGTATTATTAGTGTTCTCAAAGCATAAGCGCAATGTGATGCACAAGGGTTCCTTTTTTACTTTTATAAGCAAAGCGTAAATTAAAGTGGTATTTCTATTAACTAAATAGCTCATAACTTATAGATCATGTATATTTTATGAGCAATGCATAAATTAAAGTGGTATTTCTATTAACTAAAGCACTCATAACTTATCGATCATGTATATGAACCACATCATGCACTAATTTTCAATAAATATAATAATATTCCGTAACAACTGTCAAAAGGTAAAAAGGATGATAAATGACTTAAAATTTCATATAAAATTGAAAAAAATGTGATATGCAAAACTAATTTGAAAACAAACTTTGAAAGCGAACCTCCAAATTAAATTTCCAAGAATTTCTATCATGAGTAGGATTTAACAAGCAGTTAGAAGTTTAAAACTATTGCAATAGCTTCATGTAAAAATTCAAAACCACGAGATAACATAAAAATATATTTAACACATAACAAAAGCAAAATTTAAATGCATATAATCTCAAATTTCATAAAATAAGCTAAAGAAAATTCATCAGTCATCATCATCTATTTCATTCACATAATCTATTTCTCTTTCAAGTAGAATATCTTCATCTTCAAAAAATTCTTCCTCTTGTGAGTCAAATATTACTATCTTTCCTAAACAACAAAACTTGATGGAGGTCGAGATATAACCCTCGTTGTGAATGAACCTCCTCTTATTTTTGACCCACTAAATCTTACAAACCATATTCGATCAACTTCTCCTAATGCCTCTTCAATTGATCTCAAGTTAGATCTTCATCACCAAAACTGTATTCACTAGCATTCTCCATTTACCCAATTAAACCACTCACAACTTCCTTCAATAGAAGGCTAACTTATAAGATCAATAACATCTCTCAAACTGAATCTTCTTTTTAAAGCTTAGTTATACTTGATGAAAATAAATCATTAAAATGCTTTTGATCTAATTGATTTCTCTTTTTTGAGTGAATTTATAGAAAAAAATTGAATGAAGATCATAAAACAAGTGAATATTTTAGTTTATTCAAAATAAATAAATTATTTACCTACTCAAGGCACTAAAATTCCTCTCGCACCTAGCATCACAGCAAGTCAATCATAAAAACTTCATAACCAATTTTTTGGTATATTTGAGGCTGATGCACCATACATATCTCACCACTCCGACGTATTAAAATTTTAATATTACATTCAACAAATTT